CCCCCCCACCACCACGCCCCATCGCGTCACAACACGGTCCACCGTGTCGGCCGACGGCACCCCCGCCCAAGTTGAGGGCGTTTAAGGTTCACACGAGGCCTGTCAGCACGGCAGAGGCAATCCCGGAAGGTCCACTTGTTGGGGCGAGGAGGGCACTGCCCCGGGGGCACCCCGCACCGCCAACGACGGCTTACAAGCCACCGTCAATGTCACTCTATAGTGGTTGGCGTCTTACGACGCCAAAATATTGGCGTCCTCTGAAGAACGCCAATATTTGGCGCTTAAAGACGCCCAATATTTGGCGTTCTGTGAAGAATGCCAACCAGTTTTCAGTGAAGCTTTTATTAGTGCTGCAGCACGCATGGTAGGTGCGTGGTCTCCGCGACTGTAGCTCTATATTCCCGGAGGTCGGGGAAGGCCCATCCGAAGCGAGTTTTTGTGTGGGTGTCAACAGAATTTAGGCGCACGGGGAAGTTGTTTCTACGTCAATGCGCGCCAACTTCGTTACGACGTTACGGGACCCCGTAAACGCAAACACGTTACGCTTCCCCAAATGCAAAAAAAATTACGTCGTACGTAAATAACGTTAACGTAAACGTCGTAACGTCGTTACCCGTTAAATTAAACCCGGCTTCAGGATAGAGAGCTAAATCACCGCCAGAAATGGAGCGACACCGGAATTTTAGGCGAGATCACATAGATATCGTTTTGATATCGCATGTCGTTTTTGTGCCCACTTTCGTGTCGCTAGCGACACGAAAAGCGACACAAATCGATATGCGATATCGAAACGATATCGCCATTTCTGGGCAGGACCATTGACTCGGTCGCACAGAGCACAACAGACTCTACTAGCACAGCGCAACCACAAGAAAAAACTCAAGATCGCTCAAGATACACACTGCAGTATAAGAATCACGCTTATAAATATGTCTTGCCACTATCTGAGTGTTGCGAGGCTGTGGCACACACACAAGACTGGAGACGCCACATCCCTCCGGTCGCACGTGGAGCCGACGACAGCCGTGGGCTTGCACCGGCTTGCACCGCCCGCCCCAAAGCCCACATGTGGGTCAGCGGGACCAGCCTGGAATGCAGCGGTGAAGCTCCCCGGCAGGCGGGCGGGGCAGGGCGTCCGGTAATCGGAGATGCTTGTGGGTAAGTTATTACGTGCGGGCCACGGAGGATGGAATCATTAGTGCCCCGTGAGACGCCCGGCCCGCTCCATACTGTGAGACACGGGCCACGACTCACTCTCGAGAGTAGTGTGTGTCGTCTGGGCACGTTTTTCGATTTTAAAAAAGTTACCCCTCCAAATTTTGTACTTTTTTGATGTAGGTTCCGAGAATGACTTCGTTTTTCCCGTGCGACACGGTCTTCAGGTGGCAACCTTCCCTGAAAGTTGGAAAAACGACGACTTTTGCACGAGAAACGCCCGGTATGGACGGAAATCGGTTCAGAGCATCATAGAATTGTCCGCGTGGTACCATACGTTTCGAAAAGGAACAAAGAAACTTTTTTGGGCCCCACCAGCCCTTCTTGACCCAGCACAGGGCGTATCTACTTCGTTAAAGACGAAAATTAACCCAAAATGCACCATATATGCTCCATTAAACAAGGACCACGACCAGGAGGGGTGACGTAGTCGACCCGGCAGAAGTTTTTTTGAGTGTCAGTATCACCAAAAGTACAGGGCAGGAGTCGGCAAATTTTCAGATCGGTGCAAGTGGCTGCAGCGGGGGAATAGGGAAGGTGGGAGAGCGGTCTGAGATAATGAAAACCAGGTTAGGGTTGTCAGAAAGCCACCATATAGCAATATAATTATGAAATTCGTAATCTACGTGCAAAACTGAATCTAGCAGTGTAGCGTTCGTTACTGTGTCACCAAACTTTTTTTTCACGTGGGCCACCCCTAATCTGATTTCCATCATCTCAGACCGTTCTCTACCTTCCTTATCCCCCCGCTGCAGCCACTTGCACCGATCTGAAAATTTGCCGACTCCTGCCCTGTACTTTCGGTGATACTGACACTCAAAAAAACTTCTGCTGGGTCGACTACGGCACCCCTCCTGGTCGTGGTCCTTGTTTATTGGAGCATATATGGTGCATTTTGGGTTAATTTTCGTCTTTAACGAAGTAGATACGCCCTGTGCTGGGTCAAGAAGGGCTGGTGGGGCCCAAAAAAGTTTCTTTGTTCCTTTTCGAAACGTATGGTACCACGCGGACAATTCTATGATGCTCTGAACCGATTTCCGTCCATACCGGGCGTTTCTCGTGCAAAAGTCGTCGTTTTTCCAACTTTCAGGGAAGGTTGCCACCTGAAGACCGTGTCGCACGGGAAAAACGAAGTCATTCTCGGAACCTACATCAAAAAAGGACAAAATTTGGAGGGGTAACTTTTTTAAAATCGAAAAACGTGCCCAGACGACACACACTACTCGAGAGTCTGGATATACTATGATTCATTTCGGAAAACTATTATCCTCCTGCTGCCCCTCTGCCCCTCGCTCCCTACTCACTGGTTGCGCGCGTACAAACAAAAGTGGAATGAGATGTCTCGAGACGTGATTCACCGCTCTCGTCGCCACCCC